TTTTAACATGTTGAAGCATCATTAATCAGAAGTTGCCCTGAGTCAGCTGTGACTATTCCAGTGTATATTGATCATTCCGCAGCAGCTGGCTCTCATTACAAGAAGAATCATCTTTTGAGAGGACTTCTTAATGAACTGCCTCCATAACCTCATAAAACAGTCAATAAATCTGTAATTTACTTTTTCTCTGATATTTAATTTGTCTTTGATGTTTCTTAGGACACAGGTTTTCTGTATTAATTTAGCCCATCATCAAGCAAGAATTCCAGGAAGCTTTAGGACATTTTAATTCATTCCCAAAGAATATCTCATCAAGTAGCTACCGGCTATTTTTTTGTCTTCCATCAAGGGAATATAGAATGATTTTCCTCAGTTCCCCTCTAACATCTTTGTAACAGGCTGAGTGACTCATCTCCCTGTGTGTAGCTCATCGTGTTAGGACTACTGCTGCTCTCTGAGGCACAGCCCTCAATGTGGTTCATTTCCCCTTGTGTCCAGGGTGGCGGGAGGCTCACTTAACGTAAAACTTTTCTTCTTAAAGGATTCATTTGTGCCTCCTCTAGTCTTCTATTACTTGATGCAGAAATGTGCCTTCTTCCAGCCAATTAACAGTTGAAGCTTTTATAGGAGCCAGACTCCAGAGTGGGGCCCAGCTGCCTATAGGTTATGTTTGCTTATTCAGGTCTTGATTAACCCACATGATGGTTTATTCTATACAAGACTTTTTGTTTTTGTGTCTGTTAATATAAATAAGCCTGTTTAGAAAACATATATAGTTATTCATTATTCTTTTGAATATAAAACTTAGATGCATTTATATTCCTTCTGGGATATACCTGGACACTGGTACAGTTGTGACTCCATTAGTCTGTTGTCAATTTATTTTTGAAATTTATTTTAATCTTAAAGACATTTAAACCCATAAGGTGATTTTTCAATGCATCTGTATTCATTCAGATTATGCACATGTTCAAAGCTTTCTTTAGTGAACTGCCTATTGTCAGACTACTTGAGAACATTGCCTTGTATTTTCTCTAGAAGTTCCTTTCATACATTCTGCTGTGATAAACATTGGGTGTTCATTTTTTTCCCAAGAATGTCCTTATTTATTTAATGTGAACAAGAGTCCACATTTCTTTTATTCTGGAATAATATTTTCACTGGGTATAGAACTGTGGTGGTACTTATTTTCTTTTAGGGCACTGAAGATGGAATTCTGTTATCCTCTAGCATCTTTTTTTTTTTTTTTTTTTTTTTTTTTTTTTTAAATTAACGATCAGGGGCCGGGGATTTAGCTCAGTGGTTTGGTGGCCTGCCTTGCAAGTGCAAGAACCCAAGTTCAATCCCAAGTACCAAAAAAATAAAAAAATAAAAAAATAATAATAAAGTTAACAATCAGTATAATTCTTTTGATGATAATTTGTACTTTTCCAACTTGGGCTGAATTTAAGATTTTTTTTTAGGCTGTTTCACTGTAATGCATTTAAGTGTGTGCTTGAGGTAGCTGAGTGGATACTTCCATTCTTTCTGTAGAAACTCAGCCCTTGTGTCAACAAATACCTTTTGTTCAATTTTTCATACATATATATATGTGTGTGTGTGTGTGTGTGTGTGTGTGTGTGTATGTATGCTTATTAAGTTGAATGGATCTTCTTATTCCCTGTTTTCTTCTCATAACTTTTATTTTCCATCTTTTTGTTCTCCATGCCACCCTATGGATAATTTTTTTCTGACTTTTTTCTAATGCACTATTTTTTTTTGTTTAAATTGCTGTTATATTTATATGCTGAGGTTTTCAAGTGGTGTGTTTTACATTATTTCTAGACATTCTGTTTGGCTTATTTTAAAATCTATGATCTGTGTGCCCCACCATGGTGCAAGGAAGATTCCCCACGAGACCCCTCCCTCTGGGCTGGCTGCCAAAAGACACACAGAATTCCCAGCCCATCAGGGCAAAAATAGTTTTATTCCTTTTTATTTATCTGGATTTAATGTTCCCTTTCCTTTAGACCTGATTATTCTTGAAGTTTTTGTAGCAAAGGTCTTTAAAGAAGATAGTTGTAATATTGAATATAGGTAGTTCTTTTCAGTGGGAAGGATGGTCCAAAAAACCTACCATAAGTAGCCCTTACCAGAAATTGTGATTTTTAAAGTTTTAAAGTCTGTATCAGTCAAAATTTAACTAGAGAAGCAGAGTCAGTAGGAGGTGTGTGGGGGGGTGTTGCAGGGGGTTGGCATATGCAGTTGTACAGGCTGGCTCATGCATTCCCACAAGGCTACCTCCCTGATTATTGTTTGGATGTGGTAGACAGGCCATCTGGAGAGAAAGATTAATAAGCAGGCTTGGTGACTTGGTGAAAAGGGTAACATGCAGAAACTGCGACTGTTGTAGAGTTGAACACACACACACACACACACACACACACACACCTGGCCCAAGAAAGAGTCCAAACAACTGAAGGCCCAGCTGCTGCTTCACAACAACCACATGAATCAGCAGAGCAGAGTAAGGCTTAAGTCTTATACAATGGTTATTGCTTCCTTCGTCCCTCTCCTTCCTCCAGGAAACCCAGAACTAAGAGCAGACAAAAAGGAACCCTGGGAAATGTAGTTCAATGGGGCCAAATTGGAACATTATAAAACTATGATGCAGTCATATAAAAATTGAGACATTTTTTAATTTAAAATATTCAATTTATTTTGAAACATTGAACTATATGATTATAATAACATATGCAAACAGGTCCCTACAGCCATGAAGAGGCTATCCCTTAGGTACACATGGTATTCTTCTGGCTTGTATGAAGTACCCTTGACTGTTTCCTGGACTTCTGTTGTCCATTGTCCCCTGTAACTTAGATTCACACGAATGTCATTGATTCCTCCCCCCGCCCATTTTTGTCCTGTCATTTTTCTTTCCTAAGGATGAGATAATGTGGGAGAAAAGCGAGAGATGAATTGGATGAAAGGCAGAGGATCTGAAGACCACAGTCTCTACCTGCTAGAGTACAGGACTACTGTGCTCCAGGGTCCTCCCAGCAGACACTGAAAATATCAGAGATTGGATGTGATGGGTTTAAATACCATTGGGTTGCTTCTTCCTGTCTACACACTCAAAACATCTACACAACCATGGATGAAGAACACTTAGAATTTATGTGTGTGTCTATCTCTCTGCCATGGTGTGATTTATATGATTTTTCTACTACTAAATAGATTTTTTTTTATTCTCAATATAACTGTAGATTTTAATGAAAATGGACAAACATACAGGGCCCACACACTTTCAAGCAAAAAAATATAAAAATTCATACCTGGAAACCTGTCTCTGATTATACAATGGCCTCCAATGCTTTAAAGGAAAAGATGGCCAAAGTTACAATAGAAATATCGACCTGCAGAAAATGCAGAAATGCAGAGAAAGTCTATGTATGACTATACCACCCTGATCTTAATACCAGCCTGATCTTGGAAGCTATGCAGGGTTGGGCCTGTTTATTACTTGAATGGGAGAAAATCGGAAAGGCAATATATTAGGAGTTTTCAAATATTTGATGAAGCAGAGCAGACAGGGCAGCAAAAAGGCAGTCATCAAAGGGCAAATGCTGGATTTCAGGTCTGAAAAAAATCCTGGAGGAAGTTTAGGCTCAAAACTAGAAAAAGAGTTTCTAAGAGCAATGGTTACATTTTCTATTTTCTATTACATTGTAGGCCAGATTAGTGTAACAAATAGATCATTTGGAGTCCTGTTTATACATATGCTTCAACAAAAATCAATTGACACAGTTCTTTGCATGTATTATAATCATTATTTGAATTTGATAAGGTCTTCAAATTTGTAGCTAAAACTAAGACTCATATTTTCACATTTTGAAGAGTCACGCACATTCATATACTCACACTCAAACAACTTTTACAACTGGAAGACAGCTTCAAAGTTTTAACCATTTTGACATCAAAAGAGATATTGCTTTCAGTATTTATGCTGGTTTATGAAAAATTTTTGTCAAAGAGTAGCCCACAGCATTTCCATGTTTGGGGTATATAGAGACCACAGAAAATACTTTGCTGTTAATCTTTAGTTGAAAAGGATTAGTTTTCCTTTTCTTTGAACCTTATATCTTCGATCCCTCTTCAAAAATTCAGCTCTTAGTTTTGGGGAAGGCATAATGAGAAGCTACAACTCTTAAATTTGTTATTGGGTCTTAAGTGTGTTATTGGGAACCTTTAGGGTTGAAAAATTAAAAACAGTTAAGATACCTGTAAAGTTTCTAAGTGCGGTGCAGCTACCTTAGCCAATACCACCATCATGTTTCACTTGGACTTGGAAATGGCCTCCTAGGTGTTCTCTCCGCTGCTGTGTGTCTCTCTATACTTACAGTGTTTTCCCGGCATGACGGACAACCAGTCTTTAAATCCAGGCACTCTTCTGTTCAAGGCCCCTCAGAGGCTTCCAGCTTCCTCCTCAAAAAAGTGACAAGAACCATCATGATCCAGCCCCACTGCTGTGTCCCTCTTCCTTCCCTCATTGATCTGCTTTCTGCTTGGGCCAGCTCCCTGCTGGACCCCACAAGCCAGGCAGGCTTACCATGGTGGCTGTATGAACCATTTTCTCATCTCCCAAATATCTGCTTGGGCAACTTTCTCCTGTCTTTGAAGCCTTTCTCAAATCTGTCTTCTCAAAGAGGTTTTCCGTGATTACTCCATTTACATCTGCAACCCACTCCTGGATCACTCTCCCACCCCTCCCTTCTCCTTTTCATTCTTTACTTCTGGTTTTCGATAGCACTTACCACCTTCTCTCTTTGCCCCAGCTCCTTTCCTAAAGTTGTTTGCTAAGAGTGTCCCTCAGAGTTGGCCTTTCCCCAATGGGGGACAAGCTCTGCCAAGACATGGCCTTGGCTCATTTCCCAACTGATGCTTGCTCATAGCCTCGAGTTCCAGACAGTGAGCAACAAGGTCTGGCACATAGTTGGTGTTCAACCTGTGTTTGTACTTTTGAAAACACAGAATGCTTCATGGACTTGTGTGCCATCTTTGCTCAGGGGCTGCACTCATCTCCTCTGTATCCTACCAATTTTAGTGCATATGCTGCCAAAGGGGACACCAATAAATACTTCCTGAGGGAATGATTTATATAGAAGGGCAATTGAATTAACTTTGCATTTAAAAATTTTCTCTCCCACCAGGGGAGAAAATAAAGTCCATAGGGCCAGACCCATTGCATGATTCAAATTCAAAAATCTGTCAATAATTCAATATCTTTTCTCAGGTTTCTTAATGGTAATAGGGTTTTACAAGAGATTTTTTTCAAAAGTCCTAGTTACGATCGTATTTATCATCTAATCCCTAGACAGGTTGAGGAAGATCCATGCATATTTCAAGTGTCAGTTTCATTGTCTTTGTTGGGGTAGATAAAGGCAATTGAAGGTGTTAAATCTCTATTTCAAACTTACACCTAGACCTCCCATGCAAAGCATGTGACATACCACGTGACTTGGCAGCCATTTAATTGCCATAAAAATGACAGCCTCCCTTTTTTTTCACACAGGGGGAAGGTTCCTCCTCATTCTTGTCGGAAACTTGCCATGAGGATCCCTCTGTTTCCCCCAACTTTACTCCCCCCAACCCTCAAGCTCTCAAGTGGTGACTACCGTCCTTCCAGCCAGGTAGGACTGGATGGGAGGGCTTGCTTTTGAGAGAAGGGGTGTGTGTGGCCAGCCCCATGTTTGGGCATCATGGTCTTGCTCCTTTGGTCTTCACCCTCCCTTCTCTACATTTCCATCTTTTTTCTGCCAGAGTTCCCAGCCACACCCGTGACACTGCCCTCATCCTTTCCTTCCTTCCTCTGGCTTTGATTTGTCATTATACTCTCTCCTCTGGAGACAAAGCTCATTCTTCCATATTCTCTTCTTCATCTTCTTCATTTGTAAAATTGGTTCTATTTTAAAATCGGTCTGTCTTGTACTAAGACTTTTTTTTTCTATTAAACATTTTTTTTTCTATTTTTACATCTAGCTGCACTGTTTTCCCACAGTCCTATTGTCTTAAGACCCACTGGTTCTAAATGAACTCTTAGGGAGTCTTCTTGACCCACTCCACAAAACCCAACACACCAGTCCTTTGAATGTCTGAAAAAATTCATTTTATTCCCCCATGACATTTCGGATTGAGGGAACAGCTCATGATTCTCTGATTTTCTAGAACCAAGGTTCATCGAAATACCTAAGGAAAAAATAGGTTTGCTTGGGCCAGAAGCTGAAAATTACAGCCATATGCAGCTTGGAAGGTAGAGAGAACTTTAATTTTCCAGCAGAGGTACAGCTGAAATGTATTGTATGCTTTATATTAATAAGGAAACTTTCCTAAGCCATTCCAAAGAGTAGTATTTGTGGGAGAAGAGTTATTTTTGTAAGTTTTTTTTTTTTTAAAGAGAGACAACTTGCATAGTGCAATAGGTTAGCTGTGATTGTTGGCAACATTTAATTGTATATTGTGAAATAGTAGAGAGGATTTTGAAATGTTCCCAATACAAAGAAACATTATTGCTATTCTGTGTTAGTTAAAAATCTGGGGGAAAATTTGAAAGTAAAGCCAAAGAATTTAAAATACCAAGTTTCTATTCAAATGTCACAAAAATAAGGTTCTGTAATGCAGTTTATAATGCTTTTTTATCTTCAAATATTTGTTGATCTTTGAAGTAATACCACATGGAGACATGTCAAAGAATTACAAAAGCAAGTATTTACTGAGAAGAGGGTGTGAGTTCCTCCACCTCATCTCCAGTGGGGATAACCTGAACATCCCATTAAATTCAGCTACGATCCACAAGGTTTAGGGGGAGCCTGAGAATCTGCCTCCTAATGAGCTTCCAGATTTGCCAATCCTGCCACATTCTGACTGGCAGGACCCTAGTACACAGCTAAGTGCAGGGTTAAGCACATAGAAGCTTCTTTTAGCTGCCTTGGTAGTATTTTATTGTATTTGAATTTTTTTAACCTACTCACAAGCTTGGCCGTTTGATACCTTTTTCTTTTCTCCCCACTGTAGTAACGGGGGCATTTGTGAGCAAAGCCACAGTCTGGCCAGGAATTCTGTCCATGTTCGCTCTAGAGTAAAGTTTAGTCCCTATGTGACCTTGAGATACAGCTCTTTTTTGGAAGATGGGGTAGGAGAAAGCTATGTAATATCGATTTCCAGCCTCTACAGGTATCCAGCAGGGAAATGCTGAAAATGCCCTCCTCATTTGGATATAATGTTAAAACTATCTTCCAAATCATCAATTAAAAGGCTCGCTGGATTTTTATTGTTCTTACTGCCCTGGTAGTTTTGAGAGCTGCTACAAATGATGTAACACCGTAAGTAGAATATCAGATTTTCTGGGGGGCCTGTGATCACTAATCACAACTTGTGTTACTTGAGAATGTCAACTGTTCTCCATGTTTAACAAATAAATTTATTTTTTAAAAAGATATAAATATTCCCACAATACCTGGACTTTCAAAATATATTTAGTCACATTGTTAGCTCTTTGCTCTCTCTAGTATCCAACATGTTAAAGGTGACATAAAAATAGACCAGTTGTGCACTTTGCATGGAAAAATTGTCTCATTGCTAAAACAGAATAAAATAATTATGCTATTGTATATTTCAAACAGGATCAAAAATTTTTTTAAAAAACAGTAGGTGGAAGTAGACTTTTCACCCATTTTAGTATTTTCCAAAGTAGTTCTTGCTTGTTTGCTTTTTCCTTATCTTCATTTATACATTACAACTGGAAACAAAACAAATTAATTAAAAGTAATAGTACATAATGCTTTTACATATTTGCTGAAATTTTTTGTTATGATAGTAGGTTCATCCCAAAAGTACTCATCACATCAGTGCTTGAAACTGTGATTGTACCCCTTTATTGATAAAAAATGTGTTCCTGTTATTAGCTAGAGATTAATAGGTGAAATTGAACAGGGGAATAATATTTTTAATCCTGGTAACTTCTACTTCTAAAACCTGAAAATCACTGCAAAACAAACAAAAAGAATGTTTGTTCATTTTGTGTACTTAGGAGCCTTAGATAAAGAGCTATGAAATGACCGACTGCTAAAATAACTATGATATAGCATTGGAAAACTAAACTTATGGCAATTATCTATAAAGTTCCTGGTTTACTGTAGAATATGCCACTTCCATTTAGGAGCATGAAAGGAAAAATAAGAGGGATATAACATTTTTTCTAATAAAACAATAACAATAAGCATTTATTGAGCACTTACTACTTTTAAAACACATTTAATGTGACATCTTCTAATTGCTACTGTATATTTGAGAAAACGAAGATTCAAAAAGGTTGATGAACTTTGCTGAAGTCATACAAGACTAGCTGAATCTTGAACACACCACAGTTATGTTGATCTTTGGCTTTTTAAATACATATCCGAAGCCAGGCTTTATGACCTCATTGTCAGCACGTGTGACACCTCTCTCTCATGCTGACCTGGCTAAGCAGATGATGAGGGTGCCCTTGCTGTGACTCAGTATGCTCACCTTTAAAATGGAACAAATACCAGTCCCTTGGTTAAAGGAATCAGATCTTTTTGAGTGGCTAGAAGGGATGAGATACCAGTTATACTGGACACTTTCCATTTGCTGGTGGCATACCTCAGCCTCCACAAGATCACAACAAAGTCTCACCAGTGATTTTGCTTCCAACTTGATCACAGCAGCAAAAGCCTTTAAATATTGCAGGCAGGATGATCAAGTTGATTTAAAAAAAAAAAAGTGTTTGTAACAAATGTTTTTGAGAAGAATAGCTTCCAGGTTTCCAAAACGCCTCGCCCTGGGAAACCAGTTGGCTCCAGCCTTTATCAGTGAGAGGCAGGCAGCTGTCTACTGTGCTTATCACATCCAGCAGGGAAGCAATCCCACGCAGGAGGAAGGGAGGCCCCATAGCCTGCAAAGGTGGTTAAGAGGATTTAGACACAGCCCTCCCCATGGACAGCTGCTGAAGTTGTGCAGCTCCCTTCTCTAAAGCAGCAAGGTGAGGAAGGGCCACCCAGCCCACCTCCTCCCAGCCTTGGTTTTCCTCCGTCCCTCCCTCCCTCCTCCTCCTTTGCTCTTCATTGTGCCATTTAGCTTATATGTGTAGGGTGTGGGTACTGATCTCAAGCTAAGGACTAAATGCATTTGTCTTTCCTGATAACTTCACCTCTCTGCTTTCCTCCTCCCCTCTGATAAAGCCTTCTGTTCTCTTCTCCCCTGGTAAAGTCTTCTCTTCTCAAGCCCTGTACCAGTACCCCTGCCAATTTGACTTGCTAGGAAGGAGTTAGGGTGAGTGTTGGCCTTTACCAAAGGCCTATTTTTATTTGTTAAGCATTGCCTTTCATTATACTTAATTTATTCAGTCAAGTTATATTTATGCCTGAGGATACTAAGAAATCTAAGAAAACACCTTGAAAGTGAAAAATCTTCTTGTAGATTGTATTTAAATCTCAGTCACAGCACAGGAAGGGGCTTCTCTGGAGATAGTGACAAATGATCTTTTTTTTTTTTCCTCTGTTTTTTGAGTCTGGCAAACAGCACTGGGTTAAAGTTTGTAAGATTTAAGTAAGAAGAAGTAAAGTTTTCTGAGAGTGAGAATACTAAATATTTAAATAGATTTCTGGGGGTTGCTATGTGTCTTTGAAGATCTGTAAATGTAGAGATAATGTGGCCTTCTACCAGCAGAATTGTGTACGAATGGGTGACCTTTTCACGACCTTTGAGTTCGTGAAGGATACAATTAACTAAAGCAAAAATTTGCCACCAAAATAGGTATGAGATCCAGAGAATTGAAGGTGTTGAAGGACTCATTAAATAGAGTTGCATAAATATCATGCTGAAAGATTTAATGAGTCCATAGGGTCACTTATAAAACAATGAAGCAGAGATGGCCTAGAAAAACTAAATTAGAATCGATACTGTGCTTCTGAATTAACAACTATAGATTGCTATATTAACACCTGAGAGATAGAGTCTATAATTATCTTAATGATGCTTATTGGTGTCCTCATCCTAGGGAATATGAATATTGCACAGTTTTAGTGTTTTACTTGTTAATAATAAAACTAA